AGAATATTTTCCCTGTAGAATTTCTTCTTGAATTACCCTCATCTGGCTTTGTTGTTTCACAGGTCATTGATAAATTGATACTCAATTCATCCATCAGAAAGGAGTGAGATACTTCAAACAAAGTTTAGACCAGATAATCCTGAAAACCAGCCAAAAAGAAAATTATAATGGTGCAAGACGAAAAGAGAAGGGGGTAGGGGTTGACAGATCAAAGATGCATAATTTACGAAACAAAAATGAACACAAATAGGTATAAGAAATCAATCAAAGCAGTGGTGGTGGTAAGAGTCACAAAATTGAGTTGATAAATGACCTGGATAAGCATGGGACAACATAAACTGCCATGTTAGTTTGTAATTTTTAAATCGGATTCTGTAAAAGTTCTACTATAATGAGCACTTACAGATAGCTTCATGCAGGAAGGTTTTCAACAAAATTTTCAACCTGGTGAAAGGTATAAAAAGCATGCATTTACAAGGTTGCACCACTAAGTGAGATCATAAAACTCATACATAGAATCAGTTTGGTAAGATTTATTAAACGTTGAGGGAGATTAGACACTGACATGGACAAGAGGAAAACCAGGAAGAACAATGTAAAATGGAATTGGGGATTATGGAGGAACCACTGACCTCTAAATAACTCAAGTTAACCGGCCTAACAATTCTCTTCTTTTATTACACTGCGTAACATAACGTAAAATAGGAGATTACATACAACTAAATGATGCAAAAACAAGGAACGACTAACCCTGGCAACTATATTGGTGTGGGAAACATCCTGCTAAAACTAACCACATATTCCTAGTTGTGCTCCTACTAATCATATAGTAGCAATACTTATTTCAACTAAAAAGATAAGACCAAAACATTTTCAAACTTAAAAGGAAAACACGTCATGTAAAAGTTAAAAACACTCACACACGACACCAACATAAGTAATGGAATCAAATTCCATGCTCTCTTGATTTTGAAATTAATTCCAGATGGGGCACCTATTATGAATGGAAGAAACAAGAATCTACCCCATAATAAATAAATATAAAAGTTTTTTTTTTGTTTCCAAAGTTAGACATTCGAGTTGATTGTGCAAATTTTGAAGGTTTAGAGACCACAGCATCAGAAAGTTGTTGAATTCAAAACTTACTATGTAATCAATTTGTTATTGTATAAAGAAATACCGACAATGTAATCAATTTGTTATGGTATAAAGAAATAAACATGAAAGTGTTGGCAAGACATAAATGCTACAGGATGCAATAGGAAAACAAAACAAAAAAAAGCAACAAAGTAACAAAGTAACAAAACAAATTAGTTGGCATCTGAATTAACACCGTGATTATCAAACAATCCCATCGAGTTATAAGCTGATACAGATAGAGATATCATGACTCTGCATTCAAAAACCCCCTACAACCAACTCCAATGTCAAAAAAATAAGAGTCCACTAAAGAAAAAATCCCAGAAAAAGCTATTACTCAATGCATTCAAAGCCCTCTACCACCTAGTCCAATGTCAAACAAAGAAGATTCGGCTAAAGAGGAAATCCCAGAAAAGCTGTTATTCAATTAACTTTTTTGTTGGGAAGAAGACAAACTAAAAGCAGCCAATTTTGGGTTGCATTCGAAAAGCAAAACAAGTTGAGAAGTAGCAGAAGAGTAGCTCCAAACGTCCAACCATACAAACAGTAGATAAAAATGGAGGAACATCCAATGAGAGCTAACAAGTAACCAGAACAACCACCCGTAGATAGCACGAATGAATTAACTAAGATAGTAATTATATTATGCAAATCCATCACCAGAAATTTAAAGACAGATCAAAACCCGCATCATATTATCAGTTATAAAAAGTTCAAATAAAAAGCATGCCTTTGAAAAACCACCATAAAGAAAATCTTAATCCCAAGAACCTGTACAGAGGAAGAAAACTAAGGACGCACCCCAAATAGCAGAACACCATGAGAACCAAACTGAGCTTAGTGGAAGCATTGATGACACAAAACCCATAACCGAAATCACAATATTAATCGAACCCAGTTCTTTTTTTTTGTGGACTGAAAACCCAGTCTTCTACATGATCGAACCCAGTTCTGATCATGTAAAAGACTAAAAATCCATATCGCATTATGTGCCGAAAAGGGATTAAATAGATTCAGAAACGCGTAGAGAAGCTGCAAAAGCATACCTTTATTTTCTGCTAAGCCTGCTCAACCAGAAAGCGAAGGAAGCGGAAACGGATGATGGAGTGTGAATGAATGAGGCTGCTCGAGGAGAAAGAAAAAAGGAGAGAGAGAAGAAGAAGAGAGTAAAGGCCACTCCTTTTTGCTATGTTTTTTGTGTGAGATTTTGCTTCACAGATCGTGCAAGCAACTGTTTCTAGTTTGCATTGCTTTCTGGTACGGGGGGGTTTTCTCGGCGCTTTGCGCGTTTGTTATAGAATCCAAGAAAAATATAAAAGAAGGAAAGAAGGAGGAAGTGTGAGAATTTTGTTTGGGTCCCACTCAAACTGCCCTTTTTAGTTGAAACAAATATGCTTTTTTGGAAGTTCCAAAACTCAATCCCAAACTGAAGATTTATTTGTGAAGCTGTTCTTACTTTTTCTAATGGTGCTTATGACTTTTGGATTTCTTGCAAAAAGAGAAATTAGTTTTGGGATTTTTATAGCCTAAATCATAGGGAGATTAGCCCTGTTTGGTATGAAAAATATGAAGAAAAAAAATACATAACTTGTTTTGGATTCTTAATACCATCCTTTTTCAACATTAAAAAGTTTGAAGATATCTTGCCTTTTATGTATTTTACATCTCTTTCATGCTTTGTTTGAATAAATGTTTGCTTTCAAAATTAACTTAACATAAACAATGGTAACTTAAGTTACTTACCCAAAAGAAATCATAGTAACCGGTAACTTTTTGGTTTTTTTTAATAATTTTAAGTTTTTTTTTTATACAAGCGATATTGGGAGAGGGGGGAATCGAACCTAAGACCTCATGTACAAGATAAATGCTCTTAATCACTTGAGCTATAAGCCTCTTGCTTGTTTTATTTTAAACAGCCGATATCGAACTAATGAGGGAAAGTTTATGTCTAGAGAACTATTCCAACTCTTAACCTTAATTAACACTCGTATAAAATTCTTAATTTTTAATATATAAAAATGTATATAGATGTCACACCAATGTATTTCTTAATCTTCCTAGTTGTTTTTTTTAACAAAACCTAATTACGTTCTTTTGATAAAAGCGAAATACCTAATTACGTTTTACTTATGTGGTGAGGATATTTCAACACTATTGATCATGTTGGATTAATGATGTAATTAACACCATTTGAAAAGTACACAAGACGGTTTATTTCCAAATAATTTCAGGAAATTTATAATGAAAGTGAAGTTGAAAATCCATTAGAAGGATTTATGTTTGTCATATTCATCCCTTTAATGGGATTAATTATACATAAACTCATCATCAGAAAGCGTAAATGAAATTATCGAAATTGCTTTCATGATTGATAACACACAGATTTTATTATGAAAATGCAACCAACTCCTTTGATTTCAGGCCGGATGGTACATTTGTGGTTGGCCGAATTCCTATTAACTCATTAAGCTCCCATTCAAAATGCATTGCCAACACGTCTACTTAGTTTTTTTTTTTGTAGATTTCTATAAGAAAATCTTGGGGTCTCCTTCTTAAAGAAAAAAATAAAAAAATAAAAAATATATATATATATATATATATATATATGTATTAGGCCAGCTATATATTATAAGTTGAGGTTCCCATTTTCAATTTTTTTTTTCTGAAGCCAATTTCAAGGAGAAGACTAAATCAATAATTAGCATATTTCGAAGTTAGATCTTTCTTTTTGTTTTATCAAGTTTGGTGCGATTAAATCAAAGGTCTGACTAAATCAATAATTAGCATATTTCGAAGTTAGATCTTTCTTTTTGTTTTATCAAGTTTGGTGCGATTAAATCAAAGTTCTGGAATATTCCTACATGTACTCATACTTTTTCTATATTTATAAATAAAATTATTATTATTTGTTATTTATTATAGTCATAAAGACTTATCATGGGGTCAGGGGTCACCTTGTTATAAGAAATAAATATTGCAAAAATATTGTTTCTGCGATATAATATCGGTGTTTATTATTTTTTTTAAAAGTGATCTTTGGATTAATATTTTTCCTACACTTAACCTTTAAACAACTAATAAAAAGGCGGTTCGTAAATCTCAAAAAACAAATAAAGTGCTTCTATTTTATAAAGCATCTACTCCAATACAAAAAAAAACTCAAAAAACAAAAGGGGGGCGGTGCTTTTATTTATTTATATTTGACTATTTAATTACTAACAAATGGGTGTGACCAACCTTTTAATCACACCTAGGTAAGATCGTGTCGGTGATGTTTTCAATTTCATTTTCCCCTAACCAACCAGGTGTGCGTACATGATTGTTATCGAGGGTGACAATTTAAAATACAACAGCTGCATAAGTAATTTTGATTAGTCGATCATTAACAATTTCATTACCATTAATTATTATAGTATAAATCTAGCTGCACTTGTTGAGTCCATAAAAAATTATAGTGCCAAAGAATGATTGTTTAGTAGCGCATGTTGAAGGAGTCCTTACAAGATCCATTCTATTGACGGTTCACAATCATCCACGCATGCTACACGGGAATGATTTTTTTTCAATATCCATTTTTAGTTCCCCGCCATAGAGAAATGTGCATCTTAAAGTTTCATGTAGAGCATCACACAAACTTGGAGGGTGGCCAAGTTGATGTTTAGCTTCCTTTTGGGGTGAAAATTATGCTCCTTAATCATTTTAGTACAACATCATCATGGAGGAAGAAAAGCAAACAAGGTGGGTGGGTTGCATCAGTTCATGGAGGCATGCCCCAAAGCTTTGAAAAAGTTGTGGCCAAAGATAAAGCATAACAAGAGCAAAGAGACAATAAAGAAATAGGAAAAGGTCACCTTGGATTCTCTCTCTCTCTCTATCTATCTATCTACCTTCAGACTTTTTTACAAGTTGAGATCTAGACGTGCTTGCTCCTACAGTGCAATTATAAAAAAAAAATATACAAAGCCAGTTCTTTACTGATTGCTGGGCCAGCAAAAGACACAAGAACTTTTCTTCTTTTCATCTCATATCAGTTAATACTTTATGTGAAACCTACTTTGACAGCTGATAATCAATCTCCAAAAACTAAATGCAGTTGGTAGCAGAACTTAGTTGGGGAGTTGACCTTCCAACGAAAAACTAGATTTTTTTATGCTCAAGAATTGATTAGTATCTTTCAGTCGTATCAATTGATCCTTACGTCATCCATTGCAGGACAAAATTTCCACCTTCTGTTGAAACAACTGGTCGTATATCCTGCTAACTTTCCTTGAAGCTTTTGCCTACTTGAATCCCATGACAACTGACAAGACAACCAAGTCATGTATGGCCACCTACCAGTCATCTATCTCTAATAAGTAGTAGTCAGTGAGCAAAGAGAATGAATTTCGTATCTAATTGTGCCCAAATTTCAGTATTGCCCTAATGAAATCCAAATTAACTGCAAATTTGTGCAGGGCAGATGAGGGACATGCCTTCTCTAGGCTCTTTCCATGGGGCATATCTTTGATGGTGTTGTAAGTAATTGTAACCTGAAGCAAAGTTTTGGTTTGTTCTGGTTTTTGACATGTTTTCTTAATGACCTGGTGTAGGGCTCCCAGCAACCACCTTTATTGTTTATTCTTTGCTTAGTTTCTACAACCATTGAAGAACAAGAGGACCAGGCTTAAAGAGAATAATTTAATTTTCCGACAAAACACCATAATATTATGCTTTCTATTGCACATTTACTTCTGTACTATTATATCATGCATCTTCTACTATAGGTGATCGAGTACAATTTTAAGATGTTATATAACAAAACCATGGTGAGTCTCAGAACCATTTTACCTTTTTTGTTTGGCCAAAGAACCTTTGTAGCCGAAGTATAGAGGAGTACGTAAATTGAACAGGTGAAACCTCGACCGGCACATTTGCATGCTATGTTATGTCATCGTTTCCGGCCTGAGACAGTCTTCTTCACAGCTCCCACCGAGACCAAAAACTTATCAAGCGATGATAAAGTCTTCATGTCATCCGGAGGGAAGTAGCTGGCAGCCTTTCCCATAAGTGATGCGAAGAGAAGAGAGAGTGAAGGCCGAGTGACATAGCGTTCATCCAAAAGGTCATCCAGAAATGCAAATGCAGCTAACAAATCAGACCTGCTTGCATTGATTGGTGCAGCAAAATGAGCGGGGATTATTCTCTTGAACCTCCACTCCCGTACAATTCCATCAACCCAATCCCTGACCTGAATTATTAAAATGCGAAGTCATTTTTTGGGACACAAATTGCCATAATACTGAATTTCATGTACTTATATAGTTTCTTGTCATATTTGTTTGGTGAATGCACATCAACCATAGTATACAAGCGCAGAGTGTTGGTTTGATTATTTCACACAAAAACAACACACATGCACACACGGACAAAGAAATCAAGATATCATTTAACCACACCTTTGTGCCTTCATCAGGCATGCTATATTTGGTGATTTCACTAATTAGTTTGCATACCAGAAGACGAGCCAAATTGAATATAAGATGTGCAAGATCCGGCAAAGAAATTTGTATCAGAATGGTTCAACTACCTTTTCAGGGACTTTGCTGAAGACCAGAGTCTTTACAATGGGTGAAACAATCAGCTTTTGTGACATCTGAGCAAAGCTAGCATTAGGTTCCAACAGATTCGATGGACCAAGAAAAAGAATTTGAAGAACCATTCTTTCCCATCCTACACCAAAAATTCGTTTTTATTCAATATTTTTTTTCATTTCAAAAAACATACATGATAACCCTCATATTGGATTATCATTTTAGTAACATTCACTCAAGAATAGAATTTTGGATTGGAAAGGGGAGTGAAGATTCAACCTTTTTGACGGTTCGCCTTGTTGTCAACTACTGGTTCTTGAGGTACTTCTTTTCCTTTACTAAGAAGTTTTACAGCCAAACCATTCTTTGCGGATGCCAACAAGGATTCTTTGCTAATACAATCAGGTGGCTGTCTTGGCACAAAAATTACCGCATCCGTAACCAGTAGAGTTCTGGAAGGCTTATGATAGAAAGCTACCTCTACATATGGCCCAATACCTGAAAATTCACAAGAAAATGAGTTTTCCCAATAATTCTATAAAACAAAGTCTCAGATAGTACTTTTGCACTTTGTATTACCAACTTCTGGAGAACTTAGAACTTTCTGCTCAATCTCATAAGCCCATGGGGTGGACAAATCATCATCTTTTAAGGTTTTAGCACGAAAGATACCAAAAAACTCCAGTGGCAGATTCAAAGGCCAACTCCACTGCCTTGGTGCCACCCATACCTGAGCTCGAGGGAACTCCCTAGAAAATGGACCAACAAAAATTTTGTGCTCATAAGCAAATGTAGGCAGAACTATGTATTCTACGGGAGCTCCCAACTCTTTCAGAAGCTGCCAAGAGACACAAACGCTCATAAGAAGAGTATAGTTGGTTAGCATAAGCACCGGATATGCAGAATTACGCAGAGTCACGAACAAAAAACATATGGGAGAAGATTCTGCAAGCAAGATAAACCTGAATACACTCCTTGGTTGGAGCGATGGGGGCATGAACCCACAGTCCTCCAGATTTAAGTTTGATGACTGTCATTCTAATGTTTGTTGACACACTGCTGAAGCCTAATGCTTGCTCTTGTTCAAACAACCATATGCAGCCTTTCACAGCCTAAAACAAATGCGGAAAAGAGAGGAAAAGTTATTGTAAACGCTACAATAATACAACTACTCTGATCATCCAGAACAAATATCTGCTCTGAACTCAAAGATCATACCTTTGTACACTCAATGAAATACCAACCATGCACTTAAGGTTACACTTTTAAGTCAATAAAGCAACCCATCAATTACAGCAATTTGCACATCAAGTATGAAAAGCTATAAGGTCATCTTTGAGCAATCAACTGTGAAAGTTTCTCTCTTCATTGATTAATATCTGTTAAGCTGTAATAAACCTGGCTTCTACTAAAGAGTGATAAAAAGACATGAAAATTGAGAACAGCAGAGGACCAGGAATCAAATGTGAGCATAAAGAAAGAAATTTGTCATGCCGTAAGCCAAAATTACCAAATTTTAAGCGAGTCTCAGCTGAAAACAAGTACAGATATATTCATTGGAATAAAAGTTCAGACCAAAAAGCATTACAGTGATCACTAAGGTAACAGAGTCAAGAAGAAGGTAAAGAATAAAATGAGCTGACCTCAGTCCTAGTGGTGCTTCTATTGAGAAACGGACCCAGAGGAAAAGGAAACCCGGTGAAGTTGATGTAAAAGCGGCCACCACCTCTGCTTCTACTGGTGTTTGCTGAGGTGGTGGAGTTTGTTGAAGCAACCACCAAATTGATGGCATCTTCTCTGTTCTTGTTTCTGGGTTTCAATTGTAAACAAAGACCCTTCAAGGACCCACCAAAAAGACTCCAACTTGGTTCTCTGAGAGAGATTGGGTTCTGCAAAATGGCGGATTTTGGTGAAGCAACGGCAATGGCTGCCATTATTTCTTCCAAACTCTCTTAATACTTCGTCATAAACAACCAAACCACTCAGAGAAGTGTGGTACATAACACAGAATCATAGGTTGCAATGCCAGGTTATGCTTTTGACACGTGGATGATCTTGTCGGATTGCCTGACATGGATTTTCTGTATATTTTAGATTAATTGTGGATGGTGGGGAAAGAAAAAGACGCTTTTGGGCGACCTTTTCTTGTCATCTCAAATACAATCAATGGTAGTTTTCTTTTGGCACAAGATTAATTATTTGAGAGCGAATATAAAAAGTCTTTAAGATCAAATAGCGAAATTCATACAAAATTTAACGAGGTCGAAGTCAATACACACAAATTTGATTTGCATTTTTTTCTTTTGGTTGAAATGGAGGCAGGAAAGATTTTATTTACATATAGACCTTGCCTAGGCTAATTTAGATAGCAATTATTGAAACAGAAAAAGCAGGGGAAGAATGAGTTCTCTGTCATTCATTGCCTTGGGTTATTCACATCGCAGAATTGCAGATTATATCGAAGAAGAGAGAGACTCATCCTCAGTGTCAGAAATATGTACAACCAAAATTCTTTTCTAATGAAATAACCATAATAAACAATTTCGTTCAAAATCCACCACCATCATACCTAGAAGTACGCAGCACAAAAGTAATAGAACTATAAAAACATATTATTAAACACAAGTCTTCATACAAACAAGAACCCTGTATGTCCTAAGTATTCTGTATTCTAGCAAGAGCATTGCATATGCATGAAGCAATCCTCTGCTGGAAGATGTGATACTTGCATTGCATCTAATCTTCCTGAACCAAAATTTGAGAAACTAACATGCCCAAGTGAACATCTACAAGAGCTGAAATGATTCTGACAATATCAGAGAAGGGTTGTGTTGAGATCAAGCAGCTTTGGGAGAAAAATAACATTGCATCATGGAAACTGGTACGTCGTCGAATTGCATACTAGAAATACAGATAGGAGGCACCATCATGTAGAAGCAAACTTATATTCACAGTGCTTGTAACAAAGCAAGCCAATAGCACATCAGGTGATGATTTCCCTGACAAGCCAATCCAAACTTGGATATGCAAAGTACAGAAGAAGAAACGATGGGAGAGCAAACACAACCGTGATAAGTATGTACAAAGCCAATATAGCTGCACAGGCAGGTATTACATATAAGATGATCAGAAGAAATATCACAACCAGTGGAAACTTTACTGTCAAATGAACGAAGAAAAACAGCGACTTCCGAAGGGAAGAATGCAATCGCTCCACACTAAGGTAATTAGGGGCAAGGACATGATTCTGACCCGATGGCTCGATATGGCGAATATGGTGTACCCTCCGGTGGTGAGTGTGGCTCACTTGACTTCCCACAGATGCATTTCCATTTGCCGGCCAGACAGGATGATTATCACCAGAGAAGGTAGAATGAGACTTAACCCTATCACCATTCATGCTCTCAACCATCCAAAGAAGAAAGTAGTTCTTGCGAGGGAATTTGAGATTTCCCCTGTAAACCAGCCGGAAGGACAAGAGATTGCACCATGGGCATGAGATAAAAAGCGGAAGCTGAATTGGTAAAGTGGGGAATTTCACAACAGCCCATTGCAGTCCCAGAATGCAATTTTTACAGAGGGTATGGCCACACCATAAAACGTAGGGCACATTTTCGACAATGTTGAAGGACTCCCAGCATATGGGGCACTCTAGTCCTTCCTCTCTCCCAACAACAGAAGAACCCTCATCATCCGAACATTCAGAAGCAGCTTGTGTCGGCCTTAGAGAATCATTTTTTAATCCAACACTTCCAGCTATGTAGCTGGATGCAAAATTCCACATATTGACCACAGCCAACCGTCTCACTAACACATCACCACTAGAAAAGCTTATTGCAGCAGTATCTCAAAGCAAGTGTGATGAAGATTAACTGGGGCATTGAAGGTGTCTTATAGCCAATAATGTCAGCCAACATCACGCATTTCTAAAACTCAGAACTGAAGAAGAAGACGAATACACAGTAAATTTGGCAGAAAACTAAACTTTTTCCACTGCACTTGGAATTAAACTGATCTCGTTTTCTATTTTGAGATCATTGACGCATCTACCAATTTCACCTATGAGTTCAAGTAAGCTGAATATGCATCAGGCAAGCCACACACGCAAATGCAAAATGAATCAGCCAAAGAAATACAAAATTACTACACCTCAAAACAGTGATTTAAAACCCCGAGACCCAATTAGACAATCAAATAATCGATCATTCATATAAACTTCGAAAAAAGATCCAAACTTTAGAATAAAAAAACCAAACCCATCTCTGAAATTTTGAGCCGCAGGTCTGTAAAACTAACCCAAAGATCTAAAACAAAAGTGAAAGAATCAAACGAATAAAAACAGAAGTAGATGAAGATCTTACTGATGGTAGGGAGCGATTTGGAAGCAAGTTTTCAAGTGAGAGAGATGGGGAGAGTTGAGAGAACCCTCAATCTCTCTCTGGCTCTTTCTCGGAGCTGTGAAGTGTGAAGAGAAATGAAAATTGAGTTTTTGTGGTACTTTCTCCTCTTTCGGGTTCTGGAACTCAATGTGTAACCGAGGGAGCGGCGTGGGTCACCATTCCAAGCCTGTATGCATGTGTGTGGTCCAAGTGGCTGTGATTAAGCTAGATAACAACGACGTCGCGTCGACGTCGGTCTTCTGGACCATTAAAAATTTGCTAAACGCTGCGTTTTGGCTACTCTTCAGTTGGGCTCAAGATAGCATAGCCCATCTATTGGATTTAGCCCAAAACCTAGCAATTTTGGTGGATATACTACTCTTTATATTGTATTTAAATAATTTGGATTACATTACCCATACACAAAACTGGGTATGTTGCTTATTCTTGCATTAAACAGTTGCAATTTTGCAATAACTCTATTTACTGGGGCATCGGAGGTCTTGTTTCGATTCCTCCCTTCCTAATATCGCTTCCATCAATTGGCATTTTTATCAAGTGCTATTGAGTTCCATAGTAGCCCATGGGTTCTAGAACTTGGAGATTGATGTACTTGGGCCATATTTGGAGACTCACTTTCGGGCTTCCTATTTGTACCCAATTTTAATCAACTAGGCATGTGTGCGGAAAGGCTATAATGATTTGTTTAGGGTGAATGGCTTATTTGAGGGGGTTCAATCTCATCATCAACAAATGTGAGGAAATGAATTGACTCAAATATTTTAAATGGTTTGATGGTGGGATTGAACCCTTCAAATAAGCTCCTCACTCTAAACTCCTCATTGTAGCAGCTTCCGGCTTGTGTGAGGCCTTGATGTCCTTGTGATCACATTCCAATCAAACCGTAAACGTTCATTAAGGCGCTTATATACCTATATTTCCTTTGAATTACAGCCATACAACTAAGGACACTTTTGTGATAATGATTAATTAACAAGTTCGGTTTATAGCTAATTAATGTTGGTAAAAGTTTTCAGTTTAAGGCCCAACATAACATTTTGTGTCAAAGTAACATTGTCGATGGCACGAATATGACGGTCCACAAGAGCCCACCTGATGTTTCCCTTAATTGCATTATTGTGTCCTCGCATGCCTCATATAATTACATATGCTAGCTGTAGGTCTAGATATCAAATCGCATTTTGTAGGTTATTTTAATTTGGTACTCATATCATATGGCATGAAATATGCCTTATCTTAACTGAAAATTCCGTATCCTTCCTTCTTCATCAACAAGATAAGGCCAATATAGAGAGTGGGTCACTTGGTTTTTGTTTTCATCTTGCAATTGGCTTTGTCCTTCGGATGGTTGGGATTCGACCACGTACACACATAACTTGCCACACTAGGCTAACAGAAATATGAGCCAACTAGGGATTTGAAAGTAACATATTAGATAGCAAGTGTTGGGTACTTGTTAGGTTTTGTGATCAAACAAATAAATAAATATCTCGATTGCTATATATATGGACATTCTGCAATAAGTATTTAAGTTAATGATTGATTACATATTTCTAATCTCAATCGTTGGATTGCATCTAAAAGACCACCAACGCATTTAATAAATGTAATTCAACAGTAAAAATTAAAAATATGTAACCAATCTTTAATATAAAATACTTATATGTTTGATAGATGCTTGTACCGCAATTATATTAGACGGGGATTTATTATAGTGATGGAAAATGATATCTTGCTGTAATTTAGAGGTCCCACGCGAGGCAAGTAACCCTAGCTCTGATGTCTTTTTCTATTATTTGAGCAATTGATTGATCAGTAGGGATGCCTAAATGTTTTGCCTTCACCTCCAAAACTCCAAAAATGAGTGGGACCCAGATACAATGCAAAGAGTGTTGTTGTGTTGCTAATAAATAAGCCTTTTTAAGTCTGTGAATTAATCATTGAGGATAAGACGCATATCCTTGTGTGTCTTGTGAAGTTCTTATTATAATAATTTTTTCTTTCATGCAAACTACGAGTCATTTCTCTTTGCAGATAAATTACATTTCAGATACGTGCATCATTTTGTAATTTTACAGTCAGACTGTAATTGATTGTAAGGAAGAATAACTTCTTACTTGTCTTATAGTCGTGCCACCTCATCAGAGGGATGCTGTAATTGTCTTTCTTGGGTAATAAGGTATAGTAATTTTGATAGGGCAGGTAAATAATTTTAAGACCAGTTGACGATTATTTGATGATGATGTTTTCAGAAAACAAAGGCCAAGTTGGCCACTGGGGGACTTCGAAAGCCAGCTGAGATTTTGTATATGCAAAGGATCTGGACGCATATGCCGATTCTTCTTGTTCAGCCCGATCATGATCATGGTCTTAGACTCTTAGATTGATCACAGCCGTTGATTCACAAAAAGTTATGCGTCAAGTGGCACAAACTGGTAGCTAGACAAAATGAAATTGTGGCCCTGCTCGATGCATTTATGTGCACGTGGAACTCTGAACTATTTATACGCATGGCATGAGAGACATTGAAGAAGAATAATGCAATATATACGTTAACTCTACGTGCAAAAGCTTTCAACGATTTTTCTCCACCTCCCCAACATAAGTCTCTAATTTATCATTTTGCTAGTTATTTGGTATAGGCACCAGGAGAATTAAACCTAGGATGGAGTATTATTCTCTCTCAAGAGGTACCCTAAGCTAAGGCTCTCGTGGTCTGCTGAATTATTGTATATTTAGTTCCATTTCTTTATTTATATGTACAGGAAGAGAGATTGAATTCGGGTGAAGAGAACGGACACACTACCTTAACCAACTAACCTAACCCGCCTCATATATATATATATATATTTTAAGACGTAAATTTCTATAGTAAATCGTTGTATTACGTTTCAGCTACTTCTTTTACTAGCCACACCGTGCACCACGTTTTGCCTTGAATAATCTGATGGATCCTAACTTTTATTGCCTCCAACTCCATCCTAACTTTTTATTTCCTTTATGTTACATCAGAATGAATGAGAAAATAATTACCTAGAAAGGGAAGGTCCTACTCTTCACATGTGAGATTCCCATAAGTTGATAAAATAATTGGGCATCTCTAGTCCCTATCTATCTACAAATTTAATAATTCTTCAAGTTTTGACACATAAGGTTAATGTCATAAATATTTGTTAGAGACTGATCATGATGAGAGAATCTTGGAATATAATACTGCTCTAATTTTGGAAATTTATTCTTAATTTATTTGACGACTACGTACTACAAGTGTAGAAAATGTTGATCGTGAAGTATACTAGTAAAAGGGATAAGTACTCATGCGGATCCCACTCTTTTTATTTTTTTTTATGAATTATCATCATATTTTATTGAGACGAAATGAAGATCAGGAGCATTGGACCCTACTTCATTTTCCTTTGGTGTTTAGAGTAGGCTGCCCTAGTTTTGGCTCCTAGTTTATGGGTCATTTGTTGTTGCATACAATTTATTGCAAGTTTTATTTTAAGGAACCTTCCACTCACACCAAAAATATAGGCCGTGAAAACGTACGAATCTGTCATGCCATGCACAAGAGAAGTTTTTATAAGTTTTAGTTAGTGGAATTATTCTCTTTTGATTTCACCAGATTCAAGCTGCATAAAAGTTTGATTATGGGTTTCTGGCCTCTATATTTATTCTAAGTAGGATTGAATCTATGTTTGGTTTGGTTTGGTTCATATAATTCTTTTGAAGAAAAGGGCACAAAAGTAGTAAAGAAGATTGCGTTTTTCACGTTCTAATTTCATAAATAAAAGCTGAGTGGTGGGCAAAAAAACAAGGCAGATCAAATATGAATACCAAGGACCCAAAGTTATTGCTAGGGTGAGAGTAACTGATGGTGACAACAGGGTAAAGGACAAGTTCCTCCAACTTCTAGGAAGATTCCATTTCCCTCGTTTTCTCACTTCTCCCAATTTGCTGCCTAGCCAGACTGCCAAACCCTCTGAATAAAACACCACTCGAATTCTTTTTTATTTTTTTTCTCTTGGGAAAAAGATAGGTACGGCATCTAATCAGTACGGAAAATATTGTATTTGACTACGGATTAAATTAGATTAAATGGTGCCACATACGCTATGTTCTTTTCAATTATTGATGAAATACAGATCACTATTGATGTTGGGTGTTTCTTGTCTCCATTGTTTCCTTTTATCCTAATTAGAATCCAAACTCTGTGGGACCCCAAAACTAGGGTTTTCTTGTTTATATGCTTTTGTTTTTTCAATCATTTTGAATTTCTGTTTTCTTTGTCTCCAGTTAATAATTGTATGACTAACATGGGACGTGCCCCAAATTTGTTGTGGCCACACTTGGGAAAGTTGATGGTGTCAAATTTATACTGGAAAGGGAGACAGATTTCTACAACCATTTGCACCGAGCGAGCCCACGAGATTAATTTATGGTTCTACAATGCTTAGTGGTCACATTTTGGTTTGAACGATGCTTTTCTAAAAAGGAAACCCAGTACAATAATTCTCTACTGTTGCTGTCAAACTTTTTTATTCGAATTTACCCTCATGATGCCTACATGCAAGTTTTTAGCATATAGATTATCCAATTACTAAACAATTCTTCTTTTATTTAAATTACTCATCATTGGATGATAATGAGTCCAAACAAATTGTTTTTTTTTTTAATTTTTTAAATACAAGTGATTGGGGGTGGTTTACGCACAAACATTCTTTTATGGGGATTTTGAACTTCTGTCCACAGAATTTGAAGCCAAAAAGCTCAATCAATTGAGCTATACCATACCGATTACCGACCAAACAAATTGTTAAGTTTAATTGCCCTTTTGTTGGGAACTAATTATTGATGATACCTTTTCGTGATACCTTTATTTGAGTTTCAACTTCTACAGGGCACAGCCGTGCATCACGTTTTGCTTTTAACTAGCAATGTGACAAAAGACATCAATAGTTTCAAAAATACTTATGTGCAGGAGGGTAACGGCATGCATCGATCCATGCTTTTCATTTTGCTCTTTTCATTTCACTTTAAGACATTGACAAAAG